ATAACAATATGAATGTAAAGCAGGCCGGTGCTGGGGCAGAATGTGAAAAGACAACACTGATTGATGTGTTTGGAAAGTACTCGCTGTATTCAAACACACATTTTTGCCACATTGCCTTCATTAGGCATATGAAGGTTATGTGGTGGAACACGTTTATTTCAGTGCATAGTCTCTGAGGAAGTTAGTGTTGCCGAGTTATTTTTCCACATTTATTTATTTATGTTGTATTTTATTTGATCTGATTGTCTTGTGAAGTCGTGAGCTAAGATGACTTTGCCTTGATATCTAAGTTGAAGTCTAAGTTTTCTCGGCGATAATTGCTTTAAGCAACACAAAGTAACACTGATGCTGTGTGGCTATAGGGATTTCAGCTGTTCCACTGCCATGTGTCCTTCCCAGTAAAACAGGTTATAAAGTTGTGTATAAAACACAGCTGAATTGCCCTTAAAGGAGACGCCTGTTGACACTGTATTTTTCAAAGCCGGTTAGAGCTTATTCGTCTGTGCGACAGACCTCAATCTTAGTCCAAAAAGGCAAAGAACACATCAATGAGCCACACTATTGTTCCTTTGTGTCAGGTTCGGTCATTACCATTATCACAGGCTATGTAGTTTGTATTGAGTCAATCCAACGTACGTCATCCTGCTTCAGTAATTACACACTAATGGTCGTGGCTGAACAGAACCCCCAACAAATACACTGTTTACTCCTGCTGTTGAGTCATGTTTTCTAGAAACTACAGCTCCCAGCTGTTTTTATGGAATTATTTGGCCTCTTTTTATTTATTTTTTTTAAGTAAAAGTGTGTTTGTAATTTGTTTTTAAAATATCTGTCTTCAGTTAGGAAAATCTGAAGGTACTGAGCATAATTGATTTTGGTCTTTTCATGGGATTTGTGCATGACAACAAAATATTCAATTTCGGCAGCTTCATTCTTCATAGATAATAGATCAATTGATGACTCCTTGTCTACGAGCATAATTCATCTTCTATCTATTTGTATAGTGGTTATTATAAGTCAGTGAATAAGCAGCTTTGGGTCCAGCCATCTATAGGGAGCCTGAACCCACAAGCAGCACTGTCCTCTTAACATTGCTAGTTATTCAAAGCAACCAGATATCCCGATAAAACAGGCCTAATGTTCTATTTTTAGTGTTCCCTTTTTCCCTTTTTCAATGTTAAATTAGCCATGAGCCACCTATTACCATATCAAGCACTTTTCCTGTCTAGTGAGACACATTTGTGACTGAAATCATTATTTTTCTGTGTATATTGATAATAGACTAAGCACTAACACTATTTTGGTGGAAATAATGTGGGTGGCAATTGTAATACACGCATGCATTTTCTTTAAAAATGCTACTACACAATTTGGACAGAAATCTTAAAATATTTCTATTCGTTTATTTTTCTTTCTTTGTTCTATTTATTGTGTTTTGGCCCCATGTCATGCTTAATGAATCTGGAATCAACTGTATTAAGTAATTACACAGCCTATAGAAAGAAATGACAAAATGAACATCGACCATAGCATTTCTATTCTGTTAAAACACCTTAACAGCACATTATGTATCATTTAAATGTATATTTTCCTAGATAGTGGAATTCACCTCCTCACATACACCATCGCTCTGCTACTCTTTGTTTACCCAAATTACATGGACATTGTAAACCAGAATGCATTTGATTGCCTAATCCATTCTGTAATAATCCTCCTGGACGTGCCAGCCTGGCTGTCCTTCACATACCTGATGTTAACATCAGGGATGATTTTGATGTTTTAACTCCGGCCCCCAATGACTAATGCAAGTTAAACGCTCCTGTGGTTGTTGTTAGGCTGCTGTTTTTCAAGGGCTCTCAGGGGTTCTAGGCTTGTTGTTGAGTGTGATATTATGGAACAAATAGCAGGGCTTAATGGTGGTGCAGATGATTTAACTGCCCTCAGGGCAATGAAAAAGGGAAAATGATTCTGTATGCCTAGACATTGTACAAGGTGGTGTTCTGTAGGTGTTTTTGAAGCCTTTTATTTCCTCCAAGCGTCCTAAAAACATTTCTCGATGTATAAATTGGACAAACTTTCACAATATCTGAATGTAAAAATACCTTTTAGGCCAAACTCTCCATATAGAACATCTCATTTAAATTACAGGTTAACCCACATAATTGCTATTCACTTGTGTTTTCTAGATTTAAGGTTTATGAATGTTTGAATGCAGCACGGCTCTCTTCAGCCTCCTTCAGGCCCAGCACAGACTGTGTTGTCTGCTCTGCTCTATCAGAGATGCTGTGGCTTTAATCCTTTGCCCACAGGGGACGGCTGACATGGATGAGTGTAAACTGTTGACATGGTGCTGTCTCCTATGCTCTCTGATCAAAGACGGTGTAGCCCTCCTGTTTCACAACCTGCCTCCAAATATGCTCCAAGTCTCCGCCACAGAGACTCCCGCCCGCTCTGTTTTCACACTTTATGTTAACCCATGTTTCTCCGCATTGGATTTGATACATTTGATAAAGAACAAAGCAGACATTTGTGACCTCACCCATGTAGCCTCTGTGGCCTCCATCCATGCAATGAATTTGATTTGGAAAAACACGGTGCAAGTTGCTCATACCAGAGCAGAGACAATTTTTTGAGACAGTAATGTGCTGACTCTGAGTGCAAGGAAAGACTTGGCTTGATGTAGCGCTCAGTTTAATTAATCCACGGTAATGATGCAACTATTAGTAAGAGCTGAGCTCGTCTTAAGTGGCTGGAGAT